AAAAAAAAAAAAAAAAAAAAAAAATTTACCACTTTTTTATTACCAAATTAGCAGATCTTCAAAAGAAGGACTTCAAAGGGTCTGCAAGCCACATATGCTGAAATAAAAACTGGTCTCAAGCCAAGTGGAATCAAAGAGCAGGAAGCAAGCTGCTGCCTTTTATGCCCTCAATGCAGAGCTTGCAGCTAGGGTTTGCTGTACAGGTAGGTACAGCTAAAGCGAAATTTTCCAAACTTGTGTGGTGGAAGCCCATACACACTTACTACAAGGATGTGCAGGAAAAAAGTACCAGAAGAAATGTAATTTTCCAGAGAGAAGTATATGTCTAGCTAATACATTTGCTGAAGAATCAATATGGAGCAAACTGATACAGACTAGTTCTCTGGAGGGAGCTTAACTACTTGGAAAAGGAAGATGAACTATGTTCTCTGATGATAAAGTTGCTTAAATTTAAAGTAATTAAAAGAACATAAGGCCAGGCCTAAATGGGAAATACTGGATATGCCAACAGCAAGAAAGAGAACTACCAGAAGAGTGGCAGCCCCTGTGAGAAAGACCCCAGTGAAGTTGGGTGAAACCCTTTGCTACAATACATATGAACTAGGGGGTGTGCAAAGCAGGCCCTATTCAATTTGGATTTGGACTTGGCCTGAATCAGGGGCAGCGATTCGATTTGTTGATTAAGATCACTGTCCCCAATTCAATTCAGCTGAATCTGACTCTACAGACTCGATGCCAATTCAGAGAATCAGTGATTTGGACACAGACACAGCTTCTGGTCTAGACATAGTGATCGGCTGCAGGGGGACCCCAGTGCCCTCCCAGACTGAGGAGGCACCAGTTGCTAAGCCAGGAGGGTGCAGGGCCCCCCCTGTGTGCTCCCCTGCAGACCTGGAAGTGCTTCTGGTCCACTTCCAGGTCTGCTGCCAAGTGTGCTGGGGAACCCCCCACCCTTCTGTGGGACACTTCATCCACCCCAGCATCGCAGCATTCATGAACCACCTGCTACCTACAGGTATGCAGAAAAAAAACATTTAAAGCTGTGTCTATGGCCAAATCTTTCTGACTCTCTCTGAATCGATTCAGAGGGTTCTGATTCAATTAGGAGAGATTCAAGGGTCCTCTGATTTGAATCGGGCCGAATCTCTGCCAAATTGAATCAGGATCCACACAGCACTAATATGAACCTTGTCTGTTCTTAAGGGGGTTTTGCACATGCCTGTGTGCATCTTGTTTCCCAGTAATGAGAATCTGAATACATTTTAAGATCAATCAATCAATCAGGCCATTTAAGCTATGCTGTCTTTTAAAGGAGAACATATTTATTTATCTTCTCTTGACTGATAATTTGTGACAGTCACTTTATACAATAAACACCGGCTCCTGTGGCGTTCAAGTGGTGTTACAGAGCTATCACTTGTTCTGTTTTGCTTTTCCAAGCTGTGGATGACAAATTGCTCAGGAGGCAAGGCAATGACCCAAATGTTACACTTTTATTCACCATTCAAAGGAGATGTCTTGCCACAGAGAATAATCCAACTAGTTTCCAGTTAAAGGGATTTAAAAAAAACAAAATTAAAATGTACTTACGTATAAAATGTGAAAGATGGTTTTACAGAAAGCAGCACAAATGGCACAACTGTATAACTTATTGCTAATTGAGTTGCCATCCATGTTATGATATCGTAGAACAGCTTAACAAGGGAGAAGTCAACGAAGTAGTGTCTAATGTTGTTTCTCATCTTTAAAAAAAAAGTGGGTAAAAGACACATTAGAAACTAAACATTTTTACTGAGAGAGTTCTCTTTCTACTACCAAAAAAGATTTCAAGCAGTTAACAGCTCAGTTTATCTCCAGCCTCTTCTGTTCTCATTTTGCTGACAAGGACAGATGATGGGGGACTGTTTCACATACTTTAAGATGAGAGAGACACTGCAAGGCAGATTCAATGGCACTCCGCAGATCAAGGATCCATAGTCAAAGTATGCTTTAAATGTGCTGCTGTTTTACAGTCCCTCTTAACCTAATCGAGGATTCGCTGGCTGTAGGCACAGTTGGCTTCTGTACACTAGCCTTCAGCATAATATCATGTTTATTCTTCCCAACAGTTTTGTTTTACAATAAATGTCAACTAACTTCCTATACACATATTTATAAATAATATGAAAACAAAATAGAAGAACAGTGCTAAAAGACACCCCTAATGGTCATCGAATCCAACTCCTGCTAAAGGTTGGTGTATCCTTTTAAAAAATGTCCCAGATAAATCTGTGTCTAATTTAGTGGTTCTCAAACTTTTTAGATTTGAGGCACCCATTTGACTTGAGGTGCCCCTCCATAACTTTTGTGAATTGAGCAACACCCCATTTAAAACACTCATGCATTTATTACAGTGCTTACCTCCTTACAGAGGGGTGGGGCAGCAGCCAGGCAGGGACAACCCTGAGCCTGTGCTCATCTCCTGGCACCTGCTTATCTCCTCCTCTCACACGGCACCCTGACTGAGAGTCACTGGTCTAACCAGCACTTAAAACCTTCCAATAACAGAGATCCTACAGTCTGTCTAGGTAATCTGGTCCAGTGTTGAATTTCCTAATTTAAATCTCCCTTGTGTCAATCTAAGCCCATTACTTCTTGACCTATCCTCCCCCAAAACAACTGAGCATGATCCTTGTCATAAAAATGTTTCTGCATTGAAAACTTATCAAATTTTCCCCTCAGTCTTCTCGTCTACAAGAAATATTACTAATTATTTCAACCCTTCTTCATGTCATGTTTTCAAAACCTCTAATCATTTTTGTTGCTTTCCTTTGGGGTCTGTCTCTATTTTTTCTGCATCTCAGCTAAGGCCTCAATATTAGGGAAGAGGGAAGAATCAATTCCTGCAACTTACACACAATACTCCTTATTAAATATATCCCAAAACGGTATTAGTTTTTTTCTGCAATATTACATTGTTGATGCATGTTCAGCTTGTGATCCACTTTAATCTTCCATATAATTTGCTGAAGTTACTACATTTATTTCTGCAGTTTCCCTCTTCTCCTCAACAAACACACACTATTTTTAACCTGTAACGCCCCCGAGTTTTAGCCTTGCTACCTGAATAGTGTAAAGTTATTAGCTTGTATCTGGGCCGTGCCAGTAATCTCAGGCTCCCTTGCTCATTAGTCCAATTTCTCTTCAAGCGCTTTTGTGTTTCTGTTGATATAGCTCTTTTTTGCACAATATAAGGTTCTTTGAAAACTCTAGCAGGCGTCTATACCGCCATTCTTTAAACGACTCCTCCAACCCTCAATTCTAGCAAAGAAGCTGTAGAAATATCTCACCAAGCTAAGGATAATGGCAGATGAGCTTCAATGTCAATAAATACAAGGTAATGCACACCTCAACTACACGCATGCAATGCTAGGTTCTAAACTGGCTATTACAGCTCAGACCTTGCCTTGGAGTCATTGTAGATAGTTCTCTAAAAACAACAGCTCAATATGCAGCAGCAGCCAAAAAACAGCCAATAAAATGTTGGGCCTCATTAAGACGGGAATTGAAAGCAACAGAAAACACCATTGTGCCAATATACAAATCCATGACAAGCCCACATCTTTGCTATCGTATGCAATTCTGGTATCCACATCTTAAAAAGGATGTAGTAGAATTGGAAAAAGTAAAGAGAACAGCAACCAAAAATTATGGGAATGGAACAGATGCCATACCAAAAGAGACTAACAAGGCTAAGACTCAAGTTTGGAAAGGTGGCTGAGGTGGGATATGATAGAAATCCAATAAAATCATGAAGGAGTGGACCAACTGAACAGGGAACTGTTATTCACCAAGACACAGAAAACTAGAACTAGAGGGCACTCACTGACATTAATAGGAGACAGGTTTAAAACTAACATGAGAAAGTACTTTTTTATGCAGCGACTAGTTAATTTATGGAAGTCATTACCACAAGAGGATATACAGGCAGATTGTATAGCCAGGTTCAAAAAGGGACTAAACCAACTCATGGATGACAGATCTATCAATAGCTATTAAAAAGAAAGCCTGATGATATCTCTGACATCTCTAAACCAATAATAGTGAATGCAAGGGAGGAGAATGAACTCTAGATATATCCAGTTCAATGCTCTCCCTCTAAAGGATCCACTCATGCCACTGGTGGAGACAGACTACTGGGCTAGATGGACCATTGATCTGACCCACGATGACACTTCTTTATGTTTTTATGTTCCTATGTTCTAATATGTCAATAACTAGATAGTTTAGTGTTCTGAACTTGTGACATATCAAACAATCAGCTTGCTGTAACTTTGTCCCTTCTCCAGGCCTCATTTTCTTGTAAGAAATGCATACGGTTTCATTAGGGGGAAAAGCAACTTTGTGTGGCTTGTCATTATATGTACTCTATTTAGAAAGAACACAGTGAAGTCTTGATCTCTGGAGCTTGTAGGCACCACTGCAATACGAATAAATGCAGCCTGGGTAGTTGTACACATTTTATTTAAAGATATAGTATCATAAGTTAGATATCAAGCATGCATGTAAATCACTTAATTTATAACCCACCAAGGCAAATCTGCCCTGTACAGTGCCTCTAGAGCTTTGGAAGATGACTTTTCTAGTGTTACAGATTTTGTTGGATTAGTCCAATACTTAGGTTTCCCTTTCTTAACATTCCAAATACCTGCATTATATTATTTGATTCAGCAGCAGTTACTTAGCCAAGTTACAGATATGCAATTCATTTAATCCTTCCTTAAATCAATCCCACTAGGACAATGGTTCTCAACTTTGAGACTCAAAGCACCTTTCCATAACTTTCATGAATTGACTGGCACCCCATTTAAAAAAAAAACTAGCTTATTACTGTGCTTATCTCCTTGCAGAGGAGTTGGGCAGTCAGGCAAGGAATAAACTTAAGCCTGTGCTTATCTGCTCATACCTTGCAGCACCCTTCAAATAGCTCACAGCACCCTGGTTGAGAATCACTGCACTAGGTGAAACAACTTATATAAACAGCTGCTTGGAAAATCTGCTTGTACCTTTCATGCTTGTGGGCAACTTTAAACAGATGCTATTTATTAATAACCTACTGAAGTATTCTGCAAACAAATTCATTTTAACCTACTAGATCGCAGCCAAGGTTACTCAAATTTAATAAAGCCTTGCTAGACATTGTATTACTAATACATTTAGAATGGCAAATAAATATGCATTAAAGTACTGCAAAGAAAAGTTACAATTATACCTAAAAGCTATTAACTAGCATTCCCTTAGAATCATCCAGACTTGTGAGCTGACTGACTTTTAAGGTTTCCTGGCTACTCTGGACAACCCACAGGAAGAGATCCCAGAAGCTTCTGGTTCAATACACAAGTTGGAGAAAAAAATCTGGAAATTTAAGGGGCCAGAAATTGCATACAACTTTGAAAATTCTCCATATTGCACTCTTTTAAAAGTTTTTCACCACAAGTATGAGGAATGGCAGGATTTCTCTCTCCTCCCTTATAATGTTCACAAAATTCCAGTCAACAAAACTAACCTGGCTGTTCACCACTCAAACAATCTGGTTGATTAATCATAGAATAATTAAGGAGTAGGGATGGAAGGGACCTCCAGAGGTCATCTACTCCAACTCCCTCCCAGGATCAGTGCTACTCAAACCATCAAAAAAGGAGGGTAGATTTGTACTTTATAGATTAATTTAGCAGAAGCTTTGTGAACCTAAGCTCACTTAATCAGATGCTGCCTCTCTCTAGTTAGATAAAGACTTTTGCTCACTTATCTATTGAAAATGAGATCTACCAGGTTTGGATTGGGTTGTCTGGAAGATGGTTGGATTGTATTTGAGGAAACAAGCCATTACTGAGCAAATAACGGTCACAAGCTGGCAGAGGGTAGATTCATGCTAAACATCAAGAGGTGCTACTTCACTGTCAGGGTGGCTAGGATCTGGAACCACCTTCCAAGAGAAGTGGTGCTGGCTTCTACCCTGGGGGTCTTTAAAAGGAGGCTGGATGAACACCTTGCCAGGGTCATTTGACCCCAGTACTCTTTCCTGCCCATGGCAGGGGGTTGGACTTGATGATCTGCTCAGGTCCCTTCTGACCCTACCAACTATGAAATTATGTCTACACATGCAATTAATGCTATAAAGGCCAGCTGCACAGTAAAATACTGTGAAGTAAACCTTCCTGGAAAGCACAGATATTTCCCCAAGCAACCCGGGAACTGTCGTTTCTGGGGCAGGTCCCAGCCAGCTCCAGGCTGCAGGAAGATTCAGGCCCAGGGCTGGCTGGGAACCATCCTACTTCTGATGCAGCTCGCAGCCAGCTCTGGACTGGGCAGGGAAATACTTGTGCAGCCTAGAGCTGGCTGGGAGCTGGACCAGAAGTAGGACACTTCCCTGCCAGCCCTGGGCTGGGTGGGGAAGCAGAGAGCTTCTGAGTCCTGGTACTGCTCAGCTTCCAGCTCCTGTGGGGAGTTGGGAGGTGAGCAGTGCTGGGACAGTGGGGGAGCTGAGAGCTACCCCACCCTGGCACTGCTCAGCTCCCAGCTCCCCAGGAGCTGGGACCCGAGTACCACCAGAACTGGGGGAGTTCCCCATCCCCTCTGATCTCCTAGAGCTGGGACTGACCAGGAGCAAATTTGATCCTGGCCAGCATCTACACAGGCATTACTGAGCAGTATCTACTACACAGTTAGTTTACTACAGGTAGTAGTAGCTAACTGTGCAGTA